TGCATATTGTGTGATGATTCGTTTCATAAAACATTTAATACACTATCTTAACTTCTAAGAACATGCACTCTTATTATTTTTTCAGAAATACACAAGCTTCTACTTCTTTATTTAACAACTCTGTTAACATCAGCTTCAGCTGAGCATAGATTATTGACGTTAAGGAGATTAAAAAACTACTTGCACTCCACAATGTCACAAGAGCATCTTAATCATGTTGTTATTTTGCATACACACAAAGAATTTACATTGAGAATACATTAAAAGAATACACATTGAGGACATTGCAAAGGAATTTGTTACATTTAATGAGCATAGACGCCAATATTTTGGACAATATTAATTCAGTACATGCTATGTATTAATGATCAATTGTTAAATCATGCTCCTATGATTGTAAGTAAATAATACCTTAGCCCCCCCAACTTTTAGTTTGTTCCTACCCCTATGGCTATAAGCCTGAGAATATTTTAGAGTCTGAGGGGCACAAGAATAATGCTGGCACAACAATCTATGTTATTCTTTTTTTAAAAAGAACTATTTGCCTTGGTGACTGTGAAAACAAGTTCTTTAAAAAAAAAATTTTGGTCCATGAAGTAAAAGTATCGTAACTAAAGCTTTTCTTTTTGTTGACAGTACATTATGTTTACTCACATATTGGAAAGGGTGCGTATTTTATGATTTTTGAAGCATTGCGACATTAATCATGTATTTTTGAAGAATAATTTTGAGAAGAATAGCAATCAATTGAAAGGAATATTAGCAATCAATTGAAAGGAATAATTCAAGAATCATTAGGCACTGAAGCATAGCATAATTACAGAAATTGTGAGCATAATATTCTCAGGCCTATTGCCAGATCATGAACAAAGTTCATAGATCTGTGAACTTTTGGTGCCTCTTCTGAACTTTCTAGCAACCACTTTTAAGTTTTAACAATAAACTATCGGGTTAATAATAACTTCAGTAACTAACTAGTAGTTAATTAATTTAAAAATGTAGTTATTAATTTATTGCTATGAACTTTCTTACTTCCTGCTCACGTGACAAGTATTATTAGTATGGTGAAAGTCATGTGATTAACAAGTTTGCCGGGTCAAGACGCTGTTCACGTGAGCTACGGTTGGCAGCTTCGCACCGTACCATGGCTGGTCAAGCTGAAGGATCTTCACAAAGCTTTGACTTACCAGTTGCGGTGGATGGAGACAAAGCCATTATTTTAGATCCCAGTCTTCGAAAGAAGTCATTTAGGTCAAAGATAAAGAAAGGGCAGCATGACTTTAACAAGAGGTTGGAATTGTATAATACTAGCCTGAGTGTTGTTCTAGTATGTTGATACTATAACTAAAATTAATTTTAGTACCCCATTTATGATGATTCATATCCTCAATTAAAACCCTCAAAGGGCCTCAATTAAAAACATGAATAATTATCGTGAAAACCAAGAATACTAAAATTTATTTTCTTTATTGATACTATGCTATAAATAATTTTAGTATTAGTACTAGTACTAGAACTATACTATAATTAGTAGTACCTAATAGTAAAACAAATTTTAATATTATAGTATTAATTGTAGTACTGAATGGATACTATGCTAACATAAGGCCTTTTTACACTAGCACTTCTAATGTGCATTGAACTGGTTTGAAACCGGTTCCAGTCATTCCACACCTGATGCTCATTGACTAATATTTTGACTTCAATGTGCATTAAGCCAAACCACCTCCATATGTGGTTTGAACTTTGAATGTGCATTCAATTATTTTCAATAGATAACCAATGGTAGCTGGATCAGAAATGCTATCAAAATATACATGATCCTGAAGATAGTACGGTAGAATCACTTGATGCGCATTCAATGCGCATTGATGAGCCAACTTTTGGAACCGGTTCAAGTGTAGAGGCCTATAGACACAAAGTATAGACTAAAAGATTAACACATTAAACATCTAATAAAAGCTTCTCTTTTGAAATTATATGGCAGTTATGTGGCTTAAGCATACCGTATAGCCACAACTGTGAAGTTTTGAGGCAATAAACTTTCGCGAATCAGGCCACAAGTCTTTTTTCGCAAATTAACTTTCGTGGTTCTTATTTTAAAGCACACCTTTTTAGGGTGATACGAATAATTTTACAGACTTAACTTTCGCGGATACGGAAAATCTGTGAAAACAGCAAAAATTGTACCCTCGAAATTAAGCGGCTATACGGTATGTGAGACAGGCATTTAATTAGTACTAAAACTAATACAATACTATAACTAAGTAAATTTTTTTGTAGTATAAGTACTAATACTAAAATACAGCAATTTTAGTAATCAATACCAGAAAGGTATATTTAAGTGACAATAGATTACAAAAATGAATGTTTATTTGTTCCAGCATCAAGCACACACAAATTTATTAATAAATTTGATAGTTAGCATGTCATTTAATTATACTGTTCATAGTACTTCACTTGTACTTAAGTAATTTCTATAGTACTTATAACTGTACTTAAGTACTTGTACTTAGGTACCACTGCAAAGTACTTGTACTTTACTTAAGTATACTTTTAAATGTACTCATTTCGCCCCATTGCTTGTTAGAAAAAAATAAAAAATTTGTACACTTCCCACTGACAGCCTGGTTTTAAATCCAGTTATAATCAATAGTCTAAAAAAATCATGAAAATCCCAATAATCCTAAATAATTCTAAATAATCCTTGTAAAATCCAAGAAATAATCCGTAAAAATTCAGACAATATCCGGAAGTTTACTGAATGGTTGTGGTTGTGCCACACCCATTTGATGAACTAGAAAAATCAAATAATCAAGAAAAAATCAATAATCCTCCAAAAAATCAAAACAATCCCCAAAAATCTTGAAATCAAGTAAGCCTTTTGGATATAATCTTGTTATAATCCAAAATAATCCAATAATCAATGCCTAATTCTGAATGAATTATATTATCCGTACACTTTTTTAGGTCGTTACTGGCCCCTCGGTCTCGCCTGAAGAGAATACTATGGGTAGTAGTAATCCTCTTTGTTTTCTTGTTCTTTCCACAGATGATGATCTTTTCCATGGTTTTGGGGATTGCAAAAGTCCAATATCTAACTTCAACCTCTATCAGTTTTATATCTGATGATGAAGGACAGTCTTTCCCAGCAGTCACTGTCTGCAACTTGAATGCTGTTAAGAAAGACTATGCTGATCAAAACGTGGTTGATTTGCTGAATAATTATGCTAATCCCACTTCTGGTTTTGTACAAGATTGGCCATTTTCAAATACCAGTAGATCTTGCACTGATTCACTCAACAGTATCAGCATTGAAGATCGGCAGGAGAA